GGTGCGCTGGCGTGAGCAGAAAAGAATTCGCCAGAGCGTGAAGTGAACGAGTGGCTTGCGGCACCGCTGGGCCGCTAAACAAGAATGACGACTAAAGAATGGAGAGAAAGTAACGATGCTGGAATTGCCGTGTTGCTCACGACGAGTTCATCGGCGACGCCCAACAGTCGATGGAAGAGCAAAAGGGCATCGCGAGGCGACGGGGTATCACAACAGCCTGGAGGGGGAAAAGGAAGAGAGGAAGGAACAAGAAGCCCAAGGTGCGAGACTTTGAGAGGAATCGCGCAGCCGTAGGACAACACAACCGCAAACGAATGAGATGCAGACTTGTCGTGGGAAAAAATGAGAGACAGATTAGCACTTGCAAGCATTGGGCCACGCAAGGCCCGGGCCATGCATGGCTGCGTCTTGGGCCGGGTCTTGGGCCGTATCCAGACTCGATGCCAGTTGATGGCACGAAAGGTAATTTCGCTTGCAGGGGGTTTCTGGGTGCGCCAACACGGCCAGGGCCGGGGCCTGTGACCAATCAGAATTCACTGTAGTCAGAATTGGACAAGGTGATGCCAACAGAGGTGGAAGTTGGCTGCAGAACAGGCACTGAACATGCATGCAAAAGTAGTAATAATATCTGGTGGTTCCCTACGGTACTCCGTACACACAATTACTGACGAGCAGTTACTCCGTATTCTTGTCTCCATTTCATTGTACAATCCGTGCGTGAGCAGCTCATGATGTTGTGCATACTCCGTACATGGAGTCCAGACAGGGAGCTGGCACTTGTCTAGCCTCCGATGAAGCCAATTGACACATGTGCAGTCCCTCCATGTCCGGATTCTCCATGTCCAGGCCAAGGTGGTTTGTACGGAGTAGTATTAGCATTGGTTCTGCCGCACAACCGGCCATCGTCCACGACGCTAAAGGGAGAGCGTAAATTGAGCATTATGCTGGCAAGCCAAGCGCCGCGGCATATGATGAGGGCGATGATTAAAACCCCGAGCAGGTTTTGGCGGCGGAGTTGAGGAGGATCAAGGGCTACAAGACCGAAGGGTTACCTGCATCAACCCCATCAATTGATTGACCCCATCAACACGAGGCCCCAACTCGACAAGTGAGGCCCGGGACCTCTCAACCTGAGACTCTAGATCTGGAATACGAACAACGTTGGATGCACTGCCGACGCACGCAATGGCTCGCGTGTACCAAGTCCTGCGTTTGTTGTTTCCGATGAGCACTCGCCTCGTGGTGCCCATGTTTTGGTCATGATGGTTCAATGTTGTAAATTAAAGGCCCGCGACCAAACAAAAAGAGCAGTTGCGAACTTGCGTCTGTCCGCAGCAGCGACATGGTTCCTATCGTGTGGCCAATTGAAGAAGCTGGACGCAGTGGCCGGCCCCGCTCTTGTCAATTTGTTCTCGGGGATCAACTCACAGGCTCATGGGTATCCTGGCTTCCAAACTCTGGTTGCGTCGCGTCTGAACTGCACAGACGAAGCAACCACCAGAGCATTGTCGGATTGTGATTGGCGCCGCCCAACGTCTATTGGCCTTGGTGAATGTTGCAATGAATATTGAAACAACTTTGCAAAGCTACTTAAGCACAGAGGCATCCTCCATGTTGCACCATCAGCCGTCAAGGATGCGCTGTGACCCGCTGACATTCAAGTCTGCACAATCTGACGATTGCTGGAGTCGCTTATTGTTGTCTTCATTCCATTGCGCGTGTCATTGAAGTTCAAGTACGGAGTACGTACCAAGTATAACATGGAGCAGCATTTAATACTACCACGTACTAGTAGGAGTAGTACTGCTCCGTACTAGTACTTGTATTGGCGCTGTCTTGCCCTTTTCTATTAATAGTGGCACCACGCGCTCTTTTCATTTCCACCTGGTGTCTGGATCAAACGTCCCGTCTCCTCCCTCGCCTGGACTGGAGGGGCTGGTGGGCTCTGGATTGGTGCATCTTGGTTGATTGTTTTTCAGTGTTCCGTAGTTACTCCGTACTCCGCAGTAGACCAGTTGCCTGACAGCTGGACCCAGCAGGACTGGAAACGGTTGCGTGTGGGGCTCCACGCAATCCTCCGACCTCAGCATTGAAGCGCCGTGTTTTACTCCGTAGGTGCTTGTCATTTTGGGTTTGGCTGAGATCAAGTGATGGGATATGGCAACCTTCAACAGATCTAGTGTTGATGAGATCTGCAGTGTCACAGCCCGTCAAGACGCCTCGGGGATATGTGTTGTTGAACATGCTTACACGGCCTATATCGGTGTGTGACCGGGGAGGCCAGCATACCAACCAGTCGAGGACCCCTCAAGTTCTCCGACAAACAAATTTGTTGAATGCGTCACATTCTAGCCACGAGCCATTGACGGCTCGTCCATGACATCCATCTGCCACAACCATCACAGGCGCAATGTCCTCACCTCCGCCACTGCCTCCCCGAACCCCTTCCCGCCTCTCGCCGTACCCTCTCGATAATCCACCCCTACATACCTCCGACCCGCGCACCTCATCAACCCAATCCCTCGTCCCCTCCGAAGCATCGCTCAGCAAACGGAAGCTCCTCATAGTCTATATCCATGGCTTCTACGGAAACGACCAGTCGTTCAGGTCCTTTCCCGCACATGTTCACGCGCTGTTGAAGGAGCTGCTGGCCGAGACTCATGTGATCCATTCCAAGATATATCCGCGGTACAAGACGTACAAGGCTATAGAGGTCGCCAGGGATAACTTTAGCGCGTGGTTGGAACCGCACGAGGGCGACAGCACGGATGTGGTCCTTGTTGGGCATTCGATGGGGGGGCTCTTGGCTGGTGAGGTTGTTTTGATGGTGAGTTTCTTGTCATGCCGTGCGCCATGTTGCATTGACCGCCGCCGCGTTTTGTTAGTCAGTATGAGGTTGTGTGAGAAATTGCCCCGATGTGCCTCTTGCCTGTGTGCTCGCCCATGTTAGAGTACAATGTGTTATTCATGCTATTACTTTCAAGCCAGACGGGGAAAAGGCGGATATGCTGCTAACCTTGATAGCCAAACACAAGTCCGTACAAGACGCAGCCCTTCAAGCATCGCATCTTAGGCACCATTGCCATGGATTCGCCATTTCTGGGACTACACCCTGGCATTGTAGTTTCAGGTATTGCGAGCTTATTTCAACCCTCGCCGAATCAAGGGGACCTGCAGGAGCAGCAACAGCCGCTAGGACAGGAAAAGCTCAGCGCGTCGCCTGATTCCGAGCCATCTTCCTCATCTGAGAGACTGCCATCCATCGACTCACGGATTGACCCGATGGACACGGGAGCTTCGCCACGTCCGCAGCGACAACCTACAGATCCCCATTTTGATCCACCTTATCACAATGACGCCCCGTTCCTGGAGAAGCCCTTGGTCAAACGTCTCATCCACTTCACGGCCAAACATAAACGCGAAGGGCTGCTAAACGCGGTGGGAAGACACATTACCTCGCACTTGGAGTTTGGTGGATGTCTGGCAGATTATCGTGGTTTACATGTGCGCTATAACCGACTCCGGGCACTAGAGGATGTTGATGAGATCAAAAAGATAGCCCAAGGTCACCCGACTGGTGCGTATGCCAGAGTTCGGTTTGTAAATTACTATACTTTGTCTCCTGGTCGACCTAAGCCAGTCAAAGCCGAAAATGAACAGAGCCAGGAAATACGGGCAGCGCGGAACTCTGTAGACCTGCAGCTTGCGGAGCTTGATATCCAGGATATCTCAGCCCCAAAGAGTCCGGGTCCCCAAATACCAAATACGCCAGAGAAGGAAGGGGAAGAAACCATCCCGTTGGGCGCAAATCCGGGTCCCCAAATAGAAGACACTGTCGAAACTAGCACCATACAAGATGCACAAAACCAAGGAGAGGAACAGCACGAAACCCCGGCAGAGAATACCCTCGAATTAACTTCAGACAATGCTTGCCGAATATTGATGCAAGAGATAGACCCCATCCCCCTTTTCGAAGCCGAAACCAAAGAATGCCAGAGCCAAACCGTAACTGCAAACACAAACACAACGGATGACCTCGATCTCCCCCCTATTCCTGACCTCCCACGCAAACCCACGTTCCCAGATATAGACGCCAATCTCGACAAGGACGCCAGAAAGCAAGCTGAACGAGAATCAAAACGCCTCCAAAAAGCCTACGCACAAGCTGTCAAGGACCGCGCCAAGGCGGTACAGGAGCGCGAAAAGGTGCTCGAGAGGAGACGCAAAAAGGCTGCGAAAGAGGCGGAAAAGCAGGCCAAGGACGCCGAGAAGACGAGAGCAAAACTAGAGAAGCAGGTAGAGAAACAGCGTGTCCGGGAGGAGAAGCAAGCCAGCGAGTCCGTTGCCGCGGAGGGACACGAAGAACAGGACGGCACCGAAGATGCAGAGAGGCCAAAGAAACTGAAGAAGTTTTGTGCCTTGCCGAGCAAAAGGGACGGGGCGAGAGATCCAACCTGGGTAGATGTATACATGGACGGGCTAGACGAAGTCGGTGCGCACTGTGGACTGTTTTTCCTCGGACCGCATTACGACGGGTTGGTCGGGGATGTGGGGAGTAGGATCGCGGCATGGGTTGGAGACGAGCTGACCAAGAGGGCGATATTCGAGGCTGGGTAAGGGTGATGCCGGTGAATGATGAGTCTGCACAATGGCAACTGTCATACTAGTACGAGTATACAGAACACTACGGCTCGCCGATCTACGCAACGTAGCTCGACTATACTAGATTATAACTTGTAGATGCCATCGTCTTCAGCAGTGTAACTACCGGTCCAATACCTCAGTTCTCTCAGAGTGCCACTTGATCTCAAATAGTGGCCCGTTCAGGACTGGCAGCATGTCTATCCCTCGTTCGCGTGGTACATCCATGATACTACTCTGAAGCGTCATGACGCTTAAAATCCGTAAACCCGCAAAGACCGGCAGTATATGTATTATAACTGATTATGTGGTATCTATCATAAGTAGTACAAGGAAAGTCAGTCGCTGTCCATCCGTTATCAATACAAGTCAAGTTCTCGTAGCCGGACACTCAGGTCCTTCTTCTGGCCCTCGTCCACCTCAACCCCCTTCAGAACAGCCTCCTCCGGACCGTCTACAAACGCCTCACACTCAATCGCCACGGCGCCGAGCCGAACCCACGCACCAGCGTCTTCGCCCGACGTCCGTCTGCCGCATATCAAGGCCGTGGCCGCACAGTCAGTACCCCCCTTCCAGTTCCGCCCCGACACCAGGACGCCCAGACACGCAAACCCCGACGCCCCGTCCTCTTGTCCCGACAAGGACGCCGTGATCATGGCCTCCACAAGCGCTCTGTTTTCGCTCGCCAGCGCCACGTCCCCCAGTTTCGCCTGCGCCCCCTCCACCGTGAACGCGAGGTCAAAGGAGAAGGTCTCGAGGCGCAGAAACGCAATGGCCTCGCTCTTCTTGGAAATGGCGTCCCCGTCAATCTCCCACGACAAGACGGCGGCGTCCTTGAACCCCACGGAGATCTCCATCCTGGGCGCCGCGGATACGCCGTGCAGGATGGGCGACACATCCCCCACGAGGTTGAAGGCAAACTTGCTATCCGCGGCCGTGAGACCTTCTCGAAGATTCCAGGCCAGCCACGTCCACGACGGGAACGAAGCCGTCCTGCGGCACGATGGCTCGACCGATCCCGTCCAGTCGCAGATCCACCCCAGGCCGGCGGCCAGGCGATCCGTTTCGCTAACGACCCTGCTCGTCACAAAGTCGTCTGGATGAAACAGCGGCAGGCCGAGGAAATGTTTCACCGCAAGGCCACCCATGCGCGCGTACTCTCGGAGGAGGGCCCGGAGGGCGTCGAGGCGTCCTTGGTTGTCGGCCAGGTCGCGGCACATGTAGGTCTTGATGAGGTCCTTGAACTGGCCGGGTTGCCGGGGGCATCCGTCGCCGGCGGGGAACACGCGCCCAAGGGAGATTGAGGGCGCGAGGCGGAGAGGTAGGGAGAGCGATTCGTGGCAGTGGAGGGTGCGGCACTGGAAGTACATCTGCGACGGGGTGAAGATGAGGCGGCGGCGGGCAAGCAGGCCCTCTTGAAAGGTCCACGCGCGGGAGGCCCATTTCGAGGAAGCGACTTCGAGATCAGGCCGCACGAGAGAGGTTGCGTAGAGGCCGGTCTTGGTTTTGAGGCAGAGCTGCTCCTCGCGGGGGGTGCTGAGGCCGGGAATGCCGCCGAGGGAGGTATCTTCTGCGGCGACGATGAGTGTCAGCAGGGACTGGGAGAATATCTCGCCCACGGCGTCGACCTGTTTCTGGCGCTCGCCGGCGGGGAGCGGTAGGCAGAACCGGTCGATCCAGATGTATCGAAATCCAAGGCTGCGTGTAAATGCGATGGCGTCGGCGAACAACGGCGGCACGCTTTCCGGCAAGCGGCCATCCGGGCCGAGAGTCGAGGCTGAAGTATCAGACGGAGCGTCAGGCGATGAGTCCAGTTCCGTCTGCGCCCACACATAGCTCAAGGCAAGATAGTCCGTCTCGCCACGGGCCTGAATCTCCTCGGCTGCGACGACACGCATCTCGGTGCAGTCGACCAGCCTCAACCCCCGTACCATCTCGACGGGTGCCATACACGCCGTGCCCGCGTGTTTCTCCCTACAGAAATCCAGCCAGCACCTCGGCAGCGCAGGATCAACCATGGCCGGCACGACCCTCGCTCTGATGCTCGCTTCGCCCTGCGCCTCGACGTACCTCGACCAGCCCTCGTCCTCGTCGGCCTTGACGAGATACCCCCACGGCAGGCTCCTCTTCCTGGTCATGACCTCGATCATGACGGAGCCAGCAAGCTCATGCCTCTCCCCGACGCCATCCAGCCGCTCAAACGCCCGCCTGATCCTCAGATACGGGTGAAACTTGGCGGTGCCGTCGCCCACGGCCGGCACAGGCCCAATCATGGCCCTGAAGAAGACGCAAAACGGACACTGCGGCGCGCCAGGCGGCGTCAGTCCCCTCTGCGAGTCGCCATCGGACGGCGGCGACGGCGGCAGCCCCGGCGGCGGCAGGAGAACATGCGACAGCGGCACCCACGGCCTCGGCTGCCCGTGTTTCCAGTCCAGCAGCCGCGGGAAGTCGGCGGCCGCGCACCGCGGACACGTCTTTGTCAGGAACCCCCGGCGGCCGCCCTGCTGCCCGGCGTCGTCGTCCCGCGCGCAAGCGGC